CCTTCACAATACAATAAAGAGTGAGGAAAGCCCTATATGGAAGGGCACAATTACACTAATAATTATTAAACTGTTATTTATATTAAAAGGTAGCTTATTTTTAGGCATTAAGGTGACAAAATAATCAACAATATTTATATTTCATTTACAACTTATCCCAGTTTAAAAAATATAATGTTTGCTAAACTTGAAAATAATATACAAATTTAAAATATAAAATTAATTTTAAAAGAACGGTTTTCAGTATTTTCTAGTTAACATTTGTTGATTGTTAAAAATGAAATATTATTTGGTTGCTGACCAACGCTTAAAGGAACCCTCCATGGCATTAAAATTTGAGATCGGCGCAAATACAATTAAAATAAGTTAGAATAACCATGCCGATAAAAGAAAAAATCATTTCTATTTTATCATATTTTAATCCTGTCATGTTAGGTTTATATAATATTAATCTTAAGCCATGTTATAAAAGTCATGTGTGAGGCATTGTGGTTTTCTTGTCGGGAAGGAAGGGAATTTGCCTTCATCAGATTAATACATAAAACCGCATCATTAGCCTGGATATAACACAACTGTTCGTCTGCTGAAATCACACTAGGTTTGTAGTCTTGAAGCATTAGGGGTAAGATACTGAACAGATTTTGACAGAAATTTACTCTCCTATTTTATCAACCGGTTAAAACAATTAAGGTAAGCATCAATTCTAAGACAACTTTAAGCCTATAAGTAATTGTCTGAGGTCTAATTCGATCGTTCAATTTTGAATACTTATATTCGTTTTAATCAATACCGTACGTTGTATGTTGCCGTAACATTGTGGAACCGTTTAATCTATAGAAAAAGATAATTGGTATTTCTTTTTTAAACATACCACCTATTTTTCTTTGAAGTATTTTCGTGGTGTTCATTACATGAAATATTATTTTTATCCATTGCATTGAAAACAAGTGGACGTCCAGGCCCGCTATAGCCAATAGGGGCTTTTATGATTAGGAAGAACCCCTTTTTCTAGCGAACCCTCTCTTTTCTGACAAAACCCCACCCCCTTGTATATCCTGAACTAGTCCTCCAACCCAACTAATGCACTGCAGACCCACCCAGACTAAGACAGAAAGTTTTGCTGCAGACGTTTTCAAACATAACTGCTTTTATAGCATTATTTAGACCCATAAAACACAAAAATCGCTCTCTGAATTTGGGGCCTTTTCCCCACCCCACCGGGGCCCTTGGGCAGGCCAATGGACCCCGCGCCGAGAGAACCCCCTTTGGAAGAACCTGGCTACGGTCCAGGTAAAAGCAGGCAACCGCTTCAGTTGGAAAGCTGCCACGATATTTTTTTCTAGATGACTTGAACGATATTTCAGGCAGGGCAACATTACAACATTAGGCCTGATTAGACCCATCACAGAATGTATGAATGAGGTATCTGTGTTTCAAAAGGCGGAAAGACGTAAATCATCATTAGCATCACAATTACTTCCTTCGAACGCCCAATTGTAACTGTCCTTAGCCCACGTATTGTTGCTTAATATTATGGATTCACGAGTGTTTTCTTTTCTCAATTCTAAAATAATTTTATTTGCATTTTGGCAATTACACAATCCGGTACACTTAATTACTTGAAAATTTGTAGTAGTTGATTTTCATCAAATTACTAAGATAAAAGTTCCATCTATGTCCATTGAGGGGTCTTGTATACTGATGCTTTGATTGCTGTTATTAATGATTTTTCACGACGATAACATATTATTGCTTTACTGAAGTAAGTATGAGTTTATAATTAGGGCCTTATGTTGATAATCTTAAAATTTAATTGAGTTCCTTAACTGATTTTATTGTTGAACTTTCACATAATTTTATTGGCACGATAGTTTATCATCAGGGGGAGGAGGCTTAGCCCCTCCCCCTTGGCGCCACTGTTGGTTTCATACCACGAATGGTTCGCGTATCATCCGTACTAGCATGAAGCTCAGTGGAAACTTAACTCTGTGGCACGTACAACGATGACGTATCGCGCTGTGTACATTGTACAGTGGCACATAACACTTGTTTTGATTTAAATGAAAATGATCGTATACATAATGTCATGTACTGAGAACAATTAATTGCGTCTAGGTCAGTTTATGTGGTGGCACCCACATTTATGAACAATCATTTTTCAAACCGCATCGACAGGTGAGATTCACTAAAAATGACAAAAGGGAAAGAAGGGAGGGAAGGCAAGTTTAAAAGCTAACGGTTGATTATAGTTTTTTTTTTTTTAAGTACGCGCATAGGGAAATAAGAAAGAGATTTGAATCTATTATGAAAAAACCACGGAACATAAGCCAGTTTTCGTCAATTATCTATTTGCCTTGTTATTTAAAAAACTTTCGTTTACAAACTTCGGATGTTGTCTGCGGTGGGATATGATGTTTACTTGGTCATCGATAATGTAGGCCTAAGCACATCTGTTGGATTAACAAAGAACACAACACAAGGACATTGCATGGATGGACTGTTTTGGTGTTTTAAAGGCGGAACCATCGTAAATGTAAATTTAATAATGTAGCTAATACAGACAATATGATAATAATAATTATTATTGTTATTAGGCCCTATTATTATTATCATCATCATTATTAATATTATTATTATCATTATCATTGTCATTATTATTGTCGTTATCATTATTGTTATTATTATTATATCGTTGACAATCAATTTCAAAAGCATAATTACAACATCAAGAAAAGTGCTTAAGGTAGTGGCAGACAGAGTCGTTTTTTGGTTATTGAAAGATAAATGACAAGAAACTGCACACACGTTGTTTGTCTGCTGATTGACACGCAAACCAGATTGTTAATGAATGCACCATCATCATGCATTCGAAGGAAAATCAACTCAACTGGAATACAATAAATTATTTAGAATAACCAAGGATAACACCACTATAGCTTCACGGGATAAGGATGATCGCGGTGTCCTTTGAATAGCATACTTTTGGATTACCTATATTTTATTCAAATTCTCCAAGGCGACAATTCGAAACAACAGTCTGTGTTTTACAGTGCTTTTCTTCAGATCAATTACGACATCCAAATTTCAAAGTCAAGTGGATGCAAACTCATCTTTATCAGCCTACTGACAATATCAATTCCAATTCCGACCTATCGATATAATTATTATTATTATTATAATTATTATTATTATTATTATTATTATTATTATTTTCTTAAATATATATTTAAAAATCATTTAAAATTGAAAATTGTGTCAACAATTGTACGATGATGAACAACGCTTTGAGATTATATTGGCGCCATTTCTTGTCTGATGACATCTAAAAATCAGGTCAATCAAAAACCAGTATGCGGTTAGTATGTATTGTGTCGTTTCTTCATACAATGCAAGCGAATTAATAGGTCTTTACACTTTAAATATTATAGAAAAACCTTAAACAAACAATAATAACAACTATAAAATATAATCAAACCAGTTAGACAATTGTTAAACCAGGGAACAGTGAAATTACAGTAAGTAATTTCACTGTTCCATGGTTAAGCCGTCACCAGTATTGTTGTTTTACCACTGTTTTAAACGGTTTCTTAAAGGTAATTAAAAAACTAATTAAAATTTTACAATGGAAAAACAGATTTTCAGAAGTCAATTCTTAAACATTTTGTTTTTTTTTCCATTTTCACCAAAAAAACTCTCATATTTCTTCCCATAAGATTTAGTTCTATCCCTTTTCACATTGTTATTTTGCTTTGCATGGTCTGCGAGGGCATCGCGCGCATGCCTAGTTTAAGTTGTATCCGATCATTGAACAAAGAACTGTTACGTTTGAACTGGGTACAGATGATATACTGGTCGATATTAATCATTAGGCCAGCACATGAATTGATAATTTTACTACATCTCCTTAAATTACTGAAGTAGTCGGAAGTTAATTCTCCTACACAATGGAGGTAAGAAAATGAGATGTTTGTTTACTTCCATTTCTGGTTTTGTCGGGAACTGCCTGTGATGTTGATTTTCATTAATTAATATCTAGTGAGTCACAACCACAAACCGGTGTTTATGTGTACTTAAAAAAGTTCTTTGTGTTATTTATAGGAAACCTCTATATTTGTTAACATATTGCACATTCCTTTTTCGATAATTTCTACCCATAAACTAGAAAAAAGGAAAAAGTAAATTATCTGCCACTTTATAAACTTAATGTTAACTGATAAGAAAGTATAATACATACTCCAAGTGTTGAAATGCACGCCATCGTGTTGGGATTCAATATTTCGACATTAATTATGTCATCATCAGGAATGATAAAGTACTCGTATGCTACTGTCGGAGTCGCAGTGCTTGCCTTGGTATAAATTTGAGGGACTTGCACATTACACAATTGACGCATTTGGGCATTACTAAAATTGACTGAATTTTAATGGCTTCGGGTTCGACAAATGTAGTAGAAAGTATAATAAAAGTTAGCTATTCTTTTGAGAAATCAACCAATCTTTTGATGTGTGGATTTTCATGTGGATGTTCATTAACGAACGACGATGTATAATCTCCGTTGCGTGGGCCACCACACAAAAAAACTAATAACAACATTTTTTAAATAATTACTTATAGGGTATCAAAAATAAACGATAGGGCCTATCAAATGAAAGCGTAAACTCTGGGCCCCTTCTAACAGTCGTCATGCAGAGTTGGCCGTGTGGCACGTGCAATAGTCTGTTTTGCAATTGGATACGATGTGTGACCACTAGAGATCAAATAAAATTGCTAAGTTGTTCAAAGACATTAAACGTACGTATTTTGCCTATATATGTATTCTACAGATATCTCATTTAAAGGGAGGGATTCTAAATTCTTCATAATGCCTTTTTAAATATAGAGGCCTAAACGCATGATTGGTTGGTAAAACATTGTTATCAACAAAACAAAACTAAGCTTTAGAATATTCAACAATAAAAATACCTTAGGCTTTCACCTACACACCTCTGGCGTCACTCAAAGGAGACTGTTACAGACAGATTCAGATAAATTTCGCAACACTCACCTATTATTATTAGTTTAAAAAAAACATCAATTTATATAGAACTGTCATTGAAAACAAAAGAAAATATTTAACAGGAAATATTTCACATGCTGCGGTGTAGACAGGGAAGACGTTGCATTGGTTTCTGCCATTTATATATCGAATTCCTCTGGATTTAACGTCAACTTGGGAATTGTTCACAGTTCGTTAACACTTTTGATAGGCACTGCCGACTATTCGCGTGACTTGTAGGCCTAAATTACTTAGGCCTATTACATATCGATCAGGATATATACATTAGCAACATCCGAGTGGAAAGCGTTTAGCTTTTTACCTTGGGAGATAACATCGGCGTTGCTGGAACTATATAATGTATATTATATCAACACTAACACATATCGGATGTAGGACTATCATATCAGACATACAGTCACGCGTCTAGCATTGTTTGTATTCGTTGGTTTATTACGGAGGTCCAGTAATTAATTTTGAGTAAGTACATGTTGCCATATCGTTACCGTATCATTACCGTACCAGGAGGTTCTCGAATTGTCGAGGGGGCAAATATATTAGTGGAAATTGCGTGTCAAGACAGACGTATTCACCCAACTCATAATGGCGTGGTTGGAGCTGACTTGTGAATTTTTGCTGATGGAGGCCGAAAATGAATGCGTTCATATTCAATGTCTTCTTTTTCTGATTTACATTTTTATCTTCTAAAACATGTTCAAACATATAATAAACTATACAGTACAAATGATGGTCAAAAGTCAATGGTAATAGTGGCAAAGGTGATTGACAAAGACACCACATTGATTGGAATTTTCAAACCTTTGTATTGTATAGGCCTGAATCGAAGATTAATTGCACGTTTTTAATAAGCATTTTAATAATTTACTACAACAGGTCTATGACACCACATTCACCAATATCCAATTTTGGCCAGGCCTGTTAAAATAGGGTAAATTTTACAGCTTCATACGTTTATATGTCGTCATTTAGGCCTATCATTATTGATTAAGCTGGCAACCAAGGAGAAAATCGTCTTTATTTTAGTGAATAAAATATTATTCATCGTTGATCGTATTCAAATGCTAATTCTACGACGTAACACTAAATGAGCTTGGGTTTTGTTATTGTGAGTCATAATGTTCACAAATAGGAATATACTAAAATCATGTTTGCACTTTACCATGAGTCCTGACGATTTTCTTGATTAATATTGTTTTCTCACACCGTAGGTATTATTTATTAACTGAAAACCAAAGTAGGAGTCATCGTACCTACAATCATGGAGGAATCATGCTACAACGTGGGTCTGTACAACAAAGAACTAAAGCAATATACAAGCAACGCGAGCATGCGCATTGGGAAGAAGTTAGCAGAAGCAGGCGATCGAACGCAGGATAACCAAAGAAGAAAACATAGGAAACATAGGATGTGTTTGATTATCGTTTGCGCATATATATTAGTTTCTGGTATTGCGGCGGTCTCAACATTAATTGTTTTACTATTAAACCATGGTAAATATTCCAACATTTGTTTTCCATTTAGTTAATCTAACTACAATACAGTAATCGTATCACAAAGAAGTTCCTATGAAGTACAATATTGTATCAACATGTGCATTGTATTTTAATTGTTGTATTCCCAAATTTATTTTAATTGGGATATGCAACCAATCACTTACATTATTTTTAAACCTGCATCCTCACAGGTTCAACGACGTCGGGGGTATCTAAATTAAACGTAACAACCTGCTCTTGCTCAGAAAGGTAAGGAGAGTTCAATCGTTGAAAAATCGTACCGGAATGTTTATGTCATAGGCGTATATATAAGGATTGAGCTTGTCTTGCCTTGTTTCATGTTACTCAGCGCCGGTGTAATTCAAAAGGCAAAGGAGAGTGTGTGCACATTTACGGGTGCATTTTCATTTTGCTGGAACAGATAGAGGGGTCTGATCATGGTCTGATGAACATTTGATACAGAACAATCAAATAAATTCAACAATAGTTACATCACGTGATCTTCCGAATACCAGGAAAATTTCGGTACAGTTTTCTCACGAGGAGAACTTTAATATCAACTGCAAATACACAGATCTAGTGATGCACTTCGGTCAGTTGCTGGACCATGATGTCGGCCATTCATTGCCAGAAGATGATACCGGTAAGTTGTGATAACTCAAGATATTTCTCATTTTGATGTGTTAGTCTATGACATAAAGTTTAAGGTGGATACAATGTACAAAAGTAATTCATTTTATGTATAAAAATTTAAAGTTCCAGTATTCCATTGGTGAGCGTTCTTCTAAAGTTAGCATAAGGTGTGTTATTAAAAAAAGAAACAGATCTAGGATTTTATTGATATTTAATTTAAAGGTCTTAACTTACATTAAACTGCAGTAAGAAAATGGATGATGCATTACACTCCAATACTTTTTTTTAAAATTTATTTTTGAGAAAATAGATTAGATAAATACATTAAGAAACGTAAGTTCAAAGGACTTACCGGTGTGCAATTTACAGAAATGATACTTATAGATGTAAATCCGTAAATTTTCACCTTTTAAAGGTCTTAACTTACATTAAACTGCAGTAAGAAAATGGATGATGCATTACACTCCTATACTTTTTTTTAAATTTATTTTTGAGAAAATAGATTACATAAATACATTAAGAAACGTAAGTTCAAAGGACTTACCGGTGTGCAATTTACAGAAATGATACATATAGATGTATCGTGGCAATCCGTAAAATTTCACCTTTTAAATGTCTTAATTAACCAAACAAAATAAATAATTAGTGCCTTCCTCTACCACACATTATAGACGCCAGGTATGAGTTGACCACTATATTAATTTTTTTTAAATCTTACACTTAATCTCTAGTCAAATATCATTGTAAACATGTTATATCGTGTTTCAAAAACAGCCATTCCATGGTCTAATGATTGTCAATAACCGCAGTCATCGCTTATTGTTATTCAAAAGTACAAATCCTGCCAATTTCAGCTTTTAGTAGTAAACATCTACATAATCCTCAACAACGGTTTCATACTTTGATAAGCTTTGAAGCTCCCCAAGTATATCAATTGTTAAAATAAAATTCACACGCGTTAGTCGGAAGGTTGGAATAAAAAGGATTTATAGACTTCGAATGAAAAGTAAAATAATAATTCCAGAACGAAATGGAAATCAACTGGGCTGATCCAGAAATTTACGGGAGGGAGTCCAGAAACAAAACAGGCACATAAAAAACAAAGTGGAAGATAAATATTAAATATCAAACGAGGGGGAGAGATAGTGGAGGCTTGGTTTATATAAAGCCGGGTACTCACTGCGCGCGACGGCAACGCGACGCCGAACACACGCGACGGCGCGGAACCAACTGATCGCCTTTTTAATGAGGATCAGTTCACACTGCCACTGACAATCAGCATACGGCGTTACGCAGCCTATCGCTCTCCGGAAGCAGAGGTGGATTCGTCGTGCGACGGTCGTACGACGCAGTGAGTGCCCAGCTTTAAATGATATTGAATATTTGAGTGTTTACAAATGCCAAATGGATGAATATAATTATGTCAAAAGATTTGGCATAGTCAAGGTCAGCTAGTTCAAATACAAAGGATTTTACACACTCAGACTATGTATAGTTAGATCGAAAGCATACAAGAGGAATACCTGAAACTCCTGCCTCTGAAAGATGTTAAAAAGAATTGAAATGATCAATGGTATTAAAATCAGCTGAAAATCAGATTCAAGACACACAGGGATACAGAATCCTTACCACATAGAATGTCCTTTAGACCTTCAGGAGTGATGATTCTGTCCATGTACTATCTATACGCATTGATTTTTAGTCAAAGATGGTGCTTGGCAGAAATTAACATTATTGTCTTCTGATTCTTCTGCATTCTGTCGGTTTTGTAATACTACTTGTGTTTGGCTCATCATCATTAGTAATCCGCATGGCTGCAGGTTCATTTATGAGTTGAAGTTCAGTTCCTCCACTGATCTTGTGATGCGCTTTTCTTTTCATTTCTTCGTAATGTCCGATGTTAAACATGTCCATGAACATCCTTCTTCTTCTGCCTACTGTTCTCTTTCCTTCCATTCTCCCTTCAACCGCATTCTTTAATAATCCATTTCCTCTCAGTACATGACCAATCCACCTCTTTCTTCAGTAAACTTCTGTGTACATTCTTCTCAGTATCTCTACATTCGTAATTCTATCCTCCCATGTCACACCAAGTATCTTTTTCAAGATCCACATTTCAAATGCTTGCAGTTTTTCCATTTCTTCATTTTTTCTTCATTTTTTTTTTGCTTGCAATTTTTCCATTTTCTTCCTCTTTTTTCCCTTTTTGGTTATATTCTTAACAAGAAATATTTCCTATAAAAAACGCCGCAACTTCTGTAGCTTATTCAATTTGTGTATACAGCTATAAATTTAAACAATTTCTTTATTTGGAAGTAGCAGGCGTGTTCCAGAGTTGTGGTGTAGACTGAAATGTACTGTGCAAAACATTTGCCATATGATCAAACAAAATTCACAAATACACACTTATACATATATATTTATAATGTAATAATTTATTTGCTAATACATGTTAATGTAACATATTGACAATGGCAAATATAATAGGGCTTATGTACTGGTATATTTTGGAATATTAATATTCTTTAAACTTCCTAAATTTATTCAAAACTTTACAAACATACATTATTCATGCTTTTGTCATGGTGATCAAGTTTTGGGTAAGCACTTTATATCATTATTTTGATATTAATTGTTTATTCATTTAACAACATACATATTGACAATAGCAAATATCATATGGGCTTATGTACTGGTATATTTTGCTGAACAATAAGCAGGTTTGAGAAACATTGATGAACGTTAATTAAGACTCATGTGAGATATTTTTATACATTTATGTTTCTTGATAAATGGAACAATATTCTTATCTTTAAATTCCTAAATTGATTTAAAACTTAACAAACATACATTATCCATGTTTTTGTTATGGTGATCAACCCCACTTTGTCTGGGCTGTAATCACATATGGTAGATTAATTAGTCTTAATTAGAAAATACGGATGATACATTTCTTCATCCATTCCACTCCTGAAAACCACCTTCATGTCACAATTTGCGCTTATATCAGCTCCAGATCCTGATGAGATCCGCATTTCTTCTTCCTATGGCTGAACGCCTTTTCTTTTCCTTATTTGTTGAAATCTTATTTGATCTCCCATAATGTTCATATTTAAAATTTATTTATTTGAAACTTGTATACGCATTTCCTCACTGTAGGCCTATCGCAAATTTACGATGAAATAATGACTTTTTCAGTAAAATGTGGATGTAGCCAAACGGAAAAGTGTCTACCAATTGATATCCCCAAAGATGACCCATATTTTACTAAGCCTTGCATGATCTTCAAGCGATCACAGAGAATATGCGTCAAAGGGTGTCCGGCTGCGCCAACTGAACACGTGAACGTCATAACATCGTTCATCGACGGATCAATCATTTACGGTTCAACTGAGAAAGAGGCGCATAACTTGCGATCCAATGGTAAGCAGTACCAATTCTCATATTTTTTTATAGACCTAAACTCGTATACAAATATATTAATCAGATTGGTATACTGGTTTTAATAAATTTTGCCTAACAATATGTTTATGCTATCTACCAGTTTCAGGTAAACTGACAGTTCAATCAAATCCATCTAAGCGTCACCTTAAATCGATTCTACCACACAACCCAAAACATAGCAAATGCAAAGCACAGACAACCACCAAGAAATGCACTTTGGCAGGTGATAAAAGAGCTTCTGTGCAACCAGGTCTACATGCATTACATACAGTCTTCGTTCGGGAGCACAATCGTCTTGCGGAGAAACTATCTACCTTAAATTCACATTGGAATGACGAAAGACTATTTCAAGAGGCCAGAAAGATTGTAGCAGCCATCTTGCAACATATTACATATAACGAATATCTTCCAGTTATTCTAGGTCCGAAAATTATAAATAAATACAACTTATCACACGAGTATCCATATAAGTATGATGAATGTATTGATCCAACTATAAGTAGTGTCTTCTCGTCTGCTGCCTTTCGTTTTGGGCACAGTCAAATCGGATCCTTCGTGGCTCGTGCTGACAAGAACTATCAGCCAACATACGAACCTCTCCCGCTCAGAGCCACGTTCTTTAATGCCTCTGTCTTGGATGATGCAAGGTCTGGTGGTGTCGACTCAATCATTTTTGGCATGTTAAGTATTGGACTATTTAATGTTGATCATCAATTTACAAAAGACGTTACCGAGCATTTATTTTCGGATCCACCTCATGCGTAAGTATTTTTTGTTGCTGATATTTTTCAGCGCTTGTAGGGCTACGTGTTGACAAAAACGCGGACAGTGTATATAGTTGAATCTGGTTGTCGTTTCACCATTAATGTATTCTTCAGAGTTGCAATACAAAAAGTTTTGAAGACTGGAGAAACAAGGACCAAACAAAGTAAACCTCATTTAGGCACTGCCAGTGTAAGCAGTATAGGACAAGATAATAAATGTACACAATGACGAATACATGGTGACAGTTCAACATCTCCATAGTTCAAATGACCCCGATGTTGTTTGAGATTATTTTTCAAAATAATGTATGACGCTCACAACCCTCTTGCTATACTCCAAGGCAGCAATAATACACAACCAAGTTGTATTATATTTCACTAATTCCCTGTCCTACCAGCACCTTATGGAGCGATAACAGATAGAGAACAGGTTGACCAAACAATATTTTTAGCCTTAGATACGAATGTATTTACGTCACGTAGACTCGTATTGTTCTCATTATTACTTTTTCAGCCCAGGAATGGATCTTTTAGCCATTAACATCCAGCGTGGTCGTGATCATGGTATAGCTTCTTACAACCACTGGAGACATGAATGCGGCCTCGGAAGAGCAGACAGCTTTGAAAATCTGACAGAAGTCAGCGAAGAGATGAAAAATCTTTTGCAGAACATGTATCAGTAAGTTGGCTGATTAGTTGTTGAGATCTCTCTGACCATTATTTTGATATCTTGGTATCAAAACGTGACAGGAATAGAATTAACCATTACAGTGGTAGGAGCTATTTCCTTTGCTGTAGGTTCCCTTTTGTGGTGTCATGTCAGTGGGGCTGTTCCACGGTTTTTTTTAGGATGTTAACGTCCTACTGGATATGAGATCGTGTATGACAAGCATAAAAATATCATTGGGCATTGTTTATCGTGTACTTACTATTATTCTCGTAGATGCAAACTTTCTAAAGATACTTGTAAATATCATACGTTTTTCTAAATGTCTACAGCGATGTTGACGACATTGACGCATTAATTGGTATGCTCAGTGAGAAGCATGTTGAAGGCGCCCTTGTGGGACCAACTGTTGCCTGTTTACTGGGTGAACAGTTTCATAATCTCAAGTTTGGTGATCGTTTCTGGTACGAAAATACAGAAGGGCAACAAGCATTCACTAAAGGTATCGTATTACAATGTATTACCGTCGTTAAACTGTTTGTATGATTTATGCATTTATATACATCTTGTAGTATTATCAGTAACCGATATATCAGCGACAGACAATACTCAGGGATGTTTTGGCGGCGTGGTAGCTAAAGACGAGAACCTCAAGATAGGCCTACCTGACACTAAATAATGCCCTAAAACGTTGTCCCCACCTCATACACCATTCATTCGTAACATAAATATAAGCATCGGACTTACACACTGACAGAATCCGAGTTTTTCAGAGCTGACCATCGTTTTGCTAGTCACTATAAAGATATTTTTCTAAATGCCTGAACATTTTATTCACAGCTCAATCAGAGATGATTCGAAAGGCAAGCCTAGCCAGATTGTTTTGCGACAATCTCGATGAAATCGAAACCATTCAGCCATATGTATTTCTTGCCCCCGAAAAGGGGTTCGAGATACTCAAATGGTAAGACATTAAACATTGCCTATTTTTAATACAGCTCTCCCTCGTATTACATTCTACTTTTAGGACTGGGATTTTTGTGGTCTAACAGAAGTCTTGTTAAAAGGGAGTTTTCAATGAAAATATTGGTTAATGATAAAACTGGCAGAAAAGTGATTTTTAAGTAGAAGTAGTCTTCAATTGGTGTAGTTCATATATTTTAGGGGCGACTTCTTATAAACACAGTATCCAATAAATGACATCCTTTATACAGAGAAAGAGTAATTTATACTGTGTGGCGAAAGTTATGTCCTAAGAATTGAACTTGTGTACCTTAAATCGTTTAGTCTAAATTGTGAATTTCATTTATTCTAATTTTGTTTCATCAGGCAACAGAGTGTACTTCCAGAAGAACTCGTAGAGATATACATGGGTCCAGACGGCCAGTCTCGGTATAATAAACGGTTATCGTGTTCTGATCAATTTATTCCTTCCATCGACCTAAATCCCTGGAAGGAACCCACACCCATCTGATGGGTTCAAATCTTAATATTCCCAAGGTTGAACTAACAAAGAATTCGTTCGCTAACGACAGTTATGTGCTTACATTTACAGTAAGTATCTAGGAGGCGTTTAGGCCCAGTCGGCACTGCACAGGACCCAAAGGATGAAAACAAACTTCCCGAATGTAATGCAGTGCGTTTGTTCTCAATCCAAAACTAAAGAAGACATTTGATCGTTAACGTTTTGGCAAAACATTATTGTGTTAATTTTAATTACAATTTTGATTTACGATCTTACAGTGTAAAATACAAACTTATCTTGTTTACATTCAAATGTCTCGGCTTCAGTCGCCATTCTATCCCTTCTTTAATATGCTGAGCCTCAATTAAAATTAAAGGCATTGCTTTATCGAGACACAAAAGGAGACAATACTTGTTTAGGGCCTGAGAGCATTTGCTTTAGCTACTTTTAATAAAACACTAGAAGCAGGCTAATTACAACTAAGAACTAAATTACTGTTTATGGTATGTTCTTTTTCATTTTTTTTATTCGATTTGATTTTTACTGGCCTTTTGGCTTCTGGCACTTGGGTGGTGGTTTAGACACGTTGGCGCTATAAATTTCCAGCAGTATTATTGTTATCAATATTATTAATATTATATTTTTGTTAATATTTTTTGTCAAATGTTTTGTTATTAAATGATAAAAATTATTCAAATGCATACACCAAAGTTTTTAAGGATAAATTAAATAATGTATATAATTATGTAAATATGTGAAATACTTCATGAAGTCCAATATACCGTACATGATGGATCTATGATGAAACTATGTAAATATATAAAGTACAATTAAATAAAAATATTTAATATTATATACGAGAAAGTTCACAAAATGAGGTTGTCTGGGGTCATATTAAACACGACAATATTTGAAGTTCACCTGTTTACCTTTACTAGACATTATTTAAGAAGACACATCCCATGCAAGACAATGGAGTTGTTGGTTAGGTCTATCTAACATATTGTGGACTATAGTAGTAGAATATACCTTACGGTAGAATCCTGATATTCACTCTATATGGGTCACGATCCAAGCTATGATTGCCGATATTTATTGTAAGTTAACCAAATATTCAATAAAAACAAAATTCAAGGGAAATATATAATGATTTATATTTGTATACGATTTCAAGTCTCTGCGTCTGTGGGATCGTTGTTGATGACTGTAGTTAACGAACATGTTCCTTGCTTTGTCTAGTGTATTGACTGTGTGTGAGGTTAGTGGTGTCGCCAGTGGCGGGTGGGGCGAGGCAACGGACGTCTCGTCAAGACCACAACCCTCCATAACAAGAAATTTATTGGAGAGAACAAAAGTGTGTACATTTTTAAACCTGGAATTGGCAACGGATATGAGACCAAAAGCATAGTTAATATATATATATAGGTGTCTTGAAATTAAGGGGGTGGGGGGTAGATGATTAGGTAAGGAGTGATAGAGATGTGTATAAGAGACAGAGATATGACAACATAAAAATAATAATAATAATAATAATAATAATAATAATAATAATAATAATAATAATAATAATAAGAATAAGAATAATAAGAATATAAACAAGGCACAAGGCACTACTACTTAAGTTTATTTCGCAATTTATCGTCGGTCCTTATCAAGTGATCTTTCATCACAGGTAAAATTATGTGTAGGTCGATACTTAAAAAGACATGAATATCTTATTAGGAAGATTCTAAGAATGTATCATTAAACCTGAAAAGTGAAACTTTGCCAACGGAGACCTAGCCAAGCAGTACATTTTGTCAGATGTATATTATAGTTGTAATTGTTGTACCCTGCTTGATCAATTGGCAATTTAACTGTCATACAAAAAAATATAAATCTATTCCAGCATGTTCTCCATTATTACAGGGAGAATGAAATAAATCGTTTTCATCCTTTGCATCTTTTTACTCTGCCGTCAATCGAAGATCGTATATTTTTCGTAACACAACATTGCACCGTCAATACAAGTGTTGACGTCATTTGGTAAGTCAGATCGATCAGGCGCTGGATTAGGCTTGACAAACTTCTGGCTAGAAAATGCTTTTTCATAAAAGCCAGGTGGTTGTTTTCCTTGTAGAAATATTTTCGCTGTCTTCCATTCCTGTACTTGACCATCTCCAGCATTCCAGCGCAGCAGTTTATCTGTATACTGAATTCCTATGCGCTCACGAAACTGCTTTAAAATCGACTCTGGATTTTCTAGAAAATCATCAGAATCAGTAATGATGGGGTTTGTTTCGATTCCTGTTTTGATAAGATGCTCGTAAATTTTCGAAACTCTCTCCAATCCGTATTTTTCAGGCATCAACAATCCTTTGTTGTCCATAAGGTTGCTTTCAATAAACAATACATCACTAAAGTTATTAAATAATTTCTTCCATGATGGAAACACTTTGACAGGATTTCGAATCAAGAATGCATGGCGATATCCTTTCGGCAACATATATAGTTTCCAGGTAATGGCAAACGAAAAGTCTTTGACAAACACTACCTTCTTTTCTGGATAATCTGCTTCCAGAATACTTTCTCTTACAAATTTGTAAGTAGCTTTGTTCGCATCCCAATAACCAACAGGGTAGTCCAACTTAAAATCGCTAGTTTTAGAGGCAAACATTTCACGGAATCTTGGTTTACTGTCTGGGCCCATTCTATGTGCGCACAAAAATGTTCGTGTATAATCTGCACGTCGTTACTCATGCATTTTGTGAAGGCTGTGGATACAGAAAAAATGATACGAACCTGCTTGTCAGACATACTCGTAATAACTGAAAGAAGAAAAATGAAAATATCAATAATAATAGTAATAATAATAATAATAATAATAATAATAATAACTAGACATACTATGTATGTTTGTAAAACAGAACATAGGGTTTTCCTCATTGCCATAATGAGAAGTGATGTTGAAATTACAAAAAATAAATAAATAAAACCTCATTTATATTGTCTGACATAAAAAATGAAATCATACTAAGGAAAACTATGAAGTTAAACATATTAAAACCGCCTCGACGTCAGGGAGACTCGAAATATGACTGCTATTATTATTCAAAATGTGAAAAATTACGTTTTTGAAGAACACGGAAGTGACCAAAGTGCAATTAAACGCTTTAGAAAATGAAAAATGCGTGTATATATAGAGTTTAATTGCCGGTTTAAAAATATTCTTGAAATGGTCCACATATCCACACCCTACCTCAGATCGTCACCAAAATTTAAACCTTTCTTCATTGAAACATACTGCTATGGAAAGTTTCATTTAAATCTATTGGTATGTTTTTAGAGATATTTAGGTTTGAGGCCTTAGCAATTTAAATGGTCCTCATGTTCACACTCTACTCCAGATCGTCACTAAAATTTAATCATTTCTTTGTTGGACCATGACAAACAATACTAAACAGTTTCATTCGCATAGATCTATTGGTGAGTTTTTGAAATATTTAGGTCTCAGTGGAACGTTAGAACTTTAAATTACCCTCAAATACACACACAAATTTGGATCATCACCAACATTTGATAATATCTTCCTTGTTGGTTAAACTCCCCAGTTCATTCAGATCAGTAGATCAGCTCTTGGTACATTGGCCAGAGGCATTTCTCTTTGAATGGCCCTCAGATCCACACCCTACTCCAGATTTCTTTATTGGACCATGACAAACAATTCTGCTTCATTTAGATCCATTTATAACTTATTTAAGATATTTAGGTCTGAGACGTTAGCACTTTAAATGACGCTCAAATTCACACCCGATTCTAGATCGCTACCAAAATTTAGTAATTTCTTCCTTGTAACTCGGTTAAACTTTCCTAAAAATGTCATTCAGATCAGTTTTGCTATATATAGTCTGAGATGTTTTCCATATGAATGGTCCTTATATCTACACCCTACTCTGGATCATCACCAACATGTAGTCATTTCTTCACTGGAGCATGACAAACTATTCTTGAAAGTTTCATTTAGATCAATCGACAAGGTTTTTTTTTTAGATATTTAGGTCTGGGACGTTAGAACTTTAAATGACCCTCACACCACAGTTCACACCCGAATTTGGATCGTCACCGACATTTTAATTTTTTTGTCTTATAACTTGGTTAAACTTTCCCGAAAGGTTCATTCAGATTAGCTAATCAGTTTTTGAAATATCTGGTCTTGGACGGAAACAATTATGGAAAGTTTCATTTAGATCCATTAATAAGTTTATTGAGATATTTTGGTCTGGGACGTTAAAAATTTAGATGATCCTTGAATGTACACCCTAAATTGGATCGTCACCAATACATAATAATTTCTTCCTTGTAACTTGGTTAAGCATTCCTGGAAGTTTCACTGAGGTAAGTTAATCTTGTTTTTGAAATATCCGGTGTGGGGTGTTTGCCGTTAAATCCTTTTATTTGGTCCTCAAATCGACACCCGACTTCGGATTGTCCCTAAATTTTAAGCGGCACATCTTTGCTATATGGTCTGTTTGGAAAGATCCAAGCATGGAAAGTGCCGGTCAGGAAAATCCTGTGCAAAAGTTAAGAAAAACGTGTGGAAGAAAAAAAACCCTGCTAATCCTAGCAATAATATTGTAATATTTGTTGCACTTTTCACTAGAAACGCGTTCCAGAGGAAGTTAACCGTCTTCAACAAGCACGTGTTTTGGCGTTATGCCAAAGTTGCAACACTAAAAATCAAATAAAAATTAAACTAATAAAAATATATGAGTAAAGGTATTCTTGTACATATCTAAGTCGTACAATATAGTTTTTTTTTTACCCCAAAAGTTAGTCATCTCTTTCTTGGATTAGGCCAATACCGTTCCAAGGAATGATATGATAGTTTTACGTAATTTAATAAGCAGCGGTGAATAGGCCTTCATAACCTCTCTGGCGGAGGTAAAAATACTTTTAGCGTTACAATCCGAACTACAATAACATATCAATTATAACAACAGCAGTGGCGTATCTAGGTATCTTGAAATTAAGGGGGTTGGGGGTAGATGATTAGGTAAGGAGTGATAGCTCGCAAGTGGTATAAATTACAATTCTAAATACAAGCGGAACCAGCAACAACAAAAAAATGTAAATTATGACAGAACTACTACAGGGGCGGACCATGGTTTTGAAGCATTAGAAGATGGTTTAAAAAAGAAATAATAAATTGTACAATTTGATAAATTTTTTGATTCGTAAATGAGGTTTCCCAACTTCTGAGAGGTCTTTTAATGACAAAAATTCAAGCTTTTCCCCCTCTTGAAAAAAAAATCGTGATATTGTATTTAATTCTTATACAGAAAGTGGTTCTGTTATGTGTGTATAGAGGAAAAAAATCAAAGACATAGAAAATATCAGGTCTTTATTATTTCAATGATACCAAAAGAGTCAAATAGTTTAAATTCACTCACTGGTTTATAATAAACCATGGTCGTTGTTGAATTTATCCTTTTAACATTTTAAATTTCTATACTGATTGTCTTTGTTGTAGGATACTTTTCTCTCAATTTGTCATTGATTGTATTTCAATGTATGAGCTGGTGGGCCCTGGAGTATAACAATGCTCTTGCACTGATTAGATTACCCAGGTTAAAGAGGAAATACATATAAATAAAATAAAAAACTGTTTTTAATTTTATTTAACTGAAGGCTAGTTAGGCTAAGCCTAGCCTCTCCGAACAGCTTTCCTGGGCCTAGGCTGGTAGGTTATCGTGCCTTTTGCTGGCTAGGATCCTATGGAGCCCCTAAAGGGACATGGTTAGAAAAAAATATTAAACTATTTCAAGGGAACGAAATAATATTTCGAGGGAACGAAATATTACTTCGAGGGAACGAAATCATTTCGAGGGAACGATATAATATTTCGTTCGAACGAAATATTATTTCGTTCCCTCGAAATAATATTTCGTTCCCTCGAAATATTATTTCGTTCCCTCGAAATACTATTTCGTTCCCTCGAAATACTATTTCGTTCCCTCGAAATAATAATTCGTGTATGGTACGCCCACAGTGCCTTCCGCGTCGGCTGTTCGTCAGGGGTGGCGCCAGGATTTACCCGACAGGGGGCCGAGGTCCCCGGCTGGGGGTTCCGATGCCTCCGACAAGGGGTCAGATTTTCCCGACGAAAGCAAGGTGGGTGTCGTCGAGCTACGATTTAAAGATTTAGACAGTTTTTAAATTATGACAATTTAAGGGTTTCAAAGGCTTATTTAATCGAATTCATACAATGAATATAGGGTACATTATTGTACAGTACCTCTATGTGTATTTAAACTGAATATTAATATATTTATAAAGTAAAGTATAAGATAATGAATTTCAAAGTATGTACAAGTATGTTTGTTACACAGGCTCACTGTAGTAGATTGCAGCCAAATATTCAGTATCATCAACCAGTCCAGGGTTAGCTGTAATTGTTTCCATAGTAACAGCTGCTACTGAACCCTGGCCAAAATGTTGGATAGGCATTAACTATAATTGTCTATACCTGTATATTATAGAAAAACTATTCTTAGAAATAGAATATATTTTACATTTTTGTTTTTATGATTTATTACATTTCATCACAGTTATTATGAAACAACGCTATTATTAGAGCCAAACTAGGTAACCAAATTAGATCAAAGTAAACGTGTATGATTTTATAATTAACATTAATGATTAGCACTAATATATAATGATAATTTGAAGATGAAATATTGTAATGCTGTGATTAGATCGCCAGTCCTGGTTTCAAATTGAGCAAATATAATATATTATCAGTGAACAACTATAATATTTCTCTACTTCTTTGATTTATT